TAGTAGTAGTAGTAGTAGTAGTAGTAGTAGTAGCAGCAGTAGTAGCGGAAGTAGTAGCAGCAGTAGTAGTAGTGGTAGTAGTAGTAGTAGTAGCAGCAGCAGCAGCAGCAGCAGCAGCAGCAGCGGCAGGAGCAGGTAGGTAGCAGCTAGCAGCTACCGGATAGCAGCTAGGAGGTTGCAGCTAGCAGGTCGCAGGTAGCAGCTAGCAGCTACCAGCAGTAGCTAGCAGCCGGAGCAGGAGGAGCAGGCAGGAGGAGCAGGAGGAGGAGGAGGAGGAGGAGGATGAGGAGCAGGAGGAGAAGCAGGAGCAGGAGCAGCAGGAGCAGGAGCAGGATGAGCAGGAGGCAGGAGGCAGGAGGCAGGGAGCCGGGAAGAGGAGCAGGAGGAGGAGGAGCAGGCGGAGGAGGAGCAGAGGAGGAGGAGGAGGAGCAGGGAGAGGAGGAGCGGCGGGAGTGGGAGTGGGAGCACTAAGTATGTACTGGGGTATATGCAGGTACGAGTGATCGGTAGTAGTGTCATCAAAGAATCGTCAGCAGAATGCCCGGTGGCACTGATCGGAATGTGCTGTGTCTGAACAGGAATGATCACACAGTACATGGTCACTGGCCGTGCTGTGGGCTTCGCAGATGATGCACAGCCCTTTCAGTTCATCGAAGGGTCCTGGCCTCAGCAGCCTAAGTTCAGTCGATTAAGTGAGGAGCAGTGACTGACAGAGAGCAGCAATTCTGCAAATCAAGTCTTAGCAAGGAAGCATTGGAAGTAAGGATAGGGCGGGTACGAGACAAAGTGTTGTCGGTTTCCGGGGGCACTTTGTGGTGCCTGCGCAGGGTGGAGCAGGTGGTCACTGCCAACGACCTGGCCTTGACTGGCCGGATGCTCTTGGCATTCTATGTCGGATGTCGGAGAGCGAGCATGTCATGTTTTTCCTGCCGATGCAAGCATTCGTCTTGGGCACTCCAGCAGTTTTTTGCCGCGATAACTGTGCTTTGTACTCAGTTGCCGGCTCCGTGATGGCCCTCGACGGTATTCGCCGCATCTCTATGCCGGACAGCTCAAGTTGGTGTCGGGGCAAACCCGCGTGTTCGGCGTGGTCGTCTCTTTTGGGGTGTCTGCAGGACGAATCGATTGCTGGACGGGTCGCATCCTGAGTGATCTCCGTTTGAACGGCGTCGCAGGGCCAGCCCTCTGCCTGCACTGATCGCATTCCAGGCTCTGAACCTGACGAAGCTGAGCATCGGTGTCCAGGCAAGTCTCCTGCCCTGGCAAGGATTCCCGAGCTTCTGTCTTCGAAGCTCTGCTGGCTCTTGGTCTTCTTGAAGGACTTCCAGCCAAGATTTTTTTCTTGGTTCAAGGATCGAATTGTTCATTCAGTCAGCTCTAGACTATGGCCATCAGGGCCGTTTAGGTCCGGACAAAGGCCCATAGCTCACACTATCTCACACTCCATGTACGGCGTTTTAGCGATCATTCTGTTATTTGTACTGCAGATTGAACGTTCCAACAGATTGATACTGCGAGATGAAGTAGAGTGTGCATGGAGCGCCGTGGCAAGCCGCCTACCCTGGACGACGATGGTAACTCGCTGAGAAGCTGTAGCTTTCTTGGATTTCGAATTGCTTGGATTCTGCTTTGCTCCTGCGATCTCTGAGCCGAAGGCCTGCGGAATTCCCGGCGCGATGAGAGAGACGACGACGACGATGACCTCCAGCGTTCGCAGACGGTGCCCTGACCATCTCTGGTTGAGCGACAGTTTAGACTCGACCTGGCGATAGCTGCCAGGTCCTGCTAGACGTGTGGGCAGATGCTATGCTCTGTTGCTTTTTCAGCTTTTCAGGAGGATCGCAAGGGTTCACGGACGTCGGCGTCCTCTGCGGCAGCCCGACCGAGGCAAGAAGTGGAGTGGAGTGCATGGTTGGAATCCCTGCATGGCATTGACCGCAGGGTTTCCTCCGTCTCCGCGCCGGCAAAGCCTCCGGTGGCCCCTTCTCTCGGAGCGCCTGCGCCCACGGGCTCGCTGGCGCCAGCTTCGCCTTCCCCGGCTGCCTCGCCCACGGGCTCACCAGCTGCCGCGAGCCCCGCGAGCCTGGCCGCCCAGCGGAAGCACCTGGACTCCCGGCAGCTTCTGTCTAAAACCAGTTCCAGTGCTGGGATTCTGGAGCGTCGGGCGGGCTTTCTTGCGTTTGTTCGATGAGCACTGTCTCCCTCCCGCAACAGTGCCGAGGACCGAGCTTTTCTGTCGACCACGATGGCCTGGGGAGCCTTGGCAGTGTCCAGCGAGACTCCGCTCCGCTGGTCTAGTCCAAGCACGCACTGTGCCAGGTGGTAGACGGTTGTAGTGGCCAAGCCCGATACGGCAGCTCTTGCACAACCGGGCCCGTCGCCTTGCCCTGCATTGTCCACGGTCAGGAAACTCGAAGTCCCAGCAGGGCAACAAGTGGAGCTCCACCGCGGGATTTAAGGATTCCCTCACCGGCCAAGAGGTTTCCCGTGCCACGTGGAAGCAGCTTGAGCCACCTGCTTCCCCAGCTTACTGTCTAGCTCGTTACCTCGTTGCACAGTGCCACCGTGGTACAATGATTGTGCAAGACGCCGTGCTGTCTGAGGCACAGGCCATGGCAGAAATTGCCAAGCTGCAGAAGGAGCGGCTTGGCAAGCACAAGATGCGATCAAAGGGGTTCTCCCGCATGCGCTGTTGACATATGGATGGCAAGGGAGCTGCCTGCGCCTCACCGGGAGAAAACATGTACACAGTGCAGCTTTCACTGACCTTTTTAAAACAACTAGAAGACGAGTGGCCC